TCCCCCCCCCCACCCCCGCCGCTGCCCCGGGCCCGCTGCCACCGCCGCCATTTCGCGGGCAGCGAGAACCGGGCCCGGCCGAGGCCCAGGCCCCGCCCCGGCGGCGGCTGACCCGGAAGCGTTCGGCAGGCGTCGGATTCCCCCCCTCCCTGCCGGAGCGATAAGATGGCGGCGGTCTCCGTGCTGCAGGCGCCGAGCGGCGGCTTCAGCTTCGATAACTGTGCTCGGTGAGGTGTTGGGGCGGCGCGGGCTGGGATCGGCGGGGACTGGTCCCGGGTGGCAGCGGGGCCGCGGGCGGAGGGGAGCCCTCCGCTCAGGCCCCGCTTTCCGCCCTGTGTTGTAGGAACTCCCTGCTGGAGGCCGAGCTGGGCCAGAAGGGACAGCGGCTGCCCGCCGCCCGCAAGACGGGCACCACCATCGCCGGCGTCGTCTTCAAGGTGAGGCGGGCGCCGGGCGAGGCCCTCCGGGGCTTCACAGGGGGCCGGGCGGGCCCAGGGGCCGCTCCTCCGCCCGCAGGCCGAGGGGGACGGGTGGGTGGGCGGCCGCCCCTCGCTCCTGAGCCGGGGCCGGGGAAGGGCCGCTCGGCCCCGCGGCGGCCTCGTCGGGAAGCGGCGTCCCGGTGCGGCTGGTGGCGGAGGTTCCGCGCCTGCTGAGTCATTCTCGGCGTCCCCGGCCTCGGCCTGTGGGGAGCCGGTTCCTGCGGCCCCCATCCCCGGAGCTGCCCCGCGCCTGGCAGCCCATCTCGGCGTCGGTGCTGGAAAGGTCCCCTTTGGAGATCGAGGCTTTGGGAATAATTCTCTCTTTCTGTAGGATGGCATAGTCCTCGGTGCAGATACGAGGGCAACGGAAGGAACGGTTGTTGCTGACAAGAACTGTTCAAAAATACACTTCATTTCCCCTAATATCTAGTAAGTGTTAAAACCGTTTATGGTGTAAACGGTATTGGTAATAGTATTGGGATTTTTAGCTGTGTCCTTTGCTCACAGCAGGTGTTAAGGTGTACTTTAAAATGATTAATTTATTAGCAAAGCTTGGGGATTTTTGGTATTTCATTTACACTTAAGCAGGCTATCTTGTGCCATGCTCTGAAAATATTAACCGTATGAGAACTTAATTTCTTCAATTTTCCAATGAGAAAACTTCTACTTTTTGGGTAAAGCGGAGAGTTATTTGTTTCCCCTGTCCTCCCCACCTTTTCCTGACTTGCTCATAATATTTTTCAGTTGTTGCGGTGCGGGAACAGCTGCAGATACTGATATGACAACACAGCTGATTTCTTCCAATCTGGAGCTCCATTCGCTATCTACTGGACGACTTCCAAGAGTTGTCACAGCTAATCGAATGCTAAAGCAAATGCTTTTCAGGTAACTGAATGGGTTTCTTGTTTATTAACAATGCTGTGAAAATCACTAGACAATATTTAAGCTCCTGTGAGGGAGCACCCTTCCTCACCTTACTTAACCTTTATAAGAAGACTTTAGGGAAGACTTAATAATTGCTGTCTGCTTCATAGGCTTTTGAACTGAGATGGAAGAGAAATCAAGTCTGTGGTGTTTTAGAGATTTGATACTACAGTTGTGTTGCTAGTGTTTACGTGGCAAAAATAGAAGGACAGTAGTTTAATAAACTGTTGATCACACCCATGAAAACTGTTGTGTATCTTTGTGCTGAGATGGCTGGACCAGTAATAATCTTGCAAAGTGCAAGGTTGTAAAATTGAGAATTTCATGTGTCTTGTAATAGAATCACTACTTCAAAATGTATATTGTTTTCAAAAGAATAAAATGTTTAACCATTTGAAGCCCACAGCTGTTAATATAGAAGTCTGTCAGTGGTATAGTGAGATAATGAGTAAAATGGTTGGAAGTTGTACTGCAGTTGTCCTAAGATTTCATTTGATTGCTGAACTTATCACAAACAGTCGGTGGCAGTTGAACTTCCTAACGTGCAGCATGACGTAGAACATGCCCTTAGACTGAGGGCATACTCTCCAAATCTTTTGAGTATTCCAGTATTGTTTAGTACTGTCTTTTGCAGAAGTAAAAAATGCTCTTGAAAGAGAAGGAAAGAATGAAATGAGTGTCTTGAATTCGAGAGATTGTTCAAGCTATTGGAAAGTCTCCAGGAAGGTGAAATAAAGCAATGAAAAGAAAATGCTTTGTGCAACCAAGTGACCAAGATAGATGATAGTAATTCAGCTTGGTTGCTTAATGCTGTATTGCTAGGCAGTTTGCCTCTTTTTAAGTGAGTCACAAAACAATAAATTAAGAAGTTAAAGCAGCCAAGAACATTCTCATGGGGGAAATGAAGGAATAAGTTTTCTCTGAAGTCTCTAAATAAAAACTTAATTGCAGGTACAGGGGTTTCGTTTAAGGCTTGAAAACTAATCTGAATTCTCTCCCCGTTAGCACAAATGTATCATCTAACCTACTTGCTTGTCCAGTGCCTGTTTGTTCTGCTTGACACTGAAATATACCATATTTTAGTAAATGTCTTAGTTTAAACTATTGCTCACAGATAGTAAAAGTAGTCTTTCTATTATGGAGATGTACCTGGTATAATTGTGGAAAATTTCTCAAATGCATACTTTGTGTTAAAAAGAACTACAGATTTATTGTGGACTTTCAGATTCACATATAAACATTGGTCCTAGGTATCAAGGCTACATTGGTGCTGCCCTAGTTTTAGGGGGAGTAGATGTCACGGGACCTCACCTTTACAGCATATATCCCCATGGATCAACTGACAAATTGCCTTACGTTACCATGGGTAAGTGATACTCCCTCAGTATTGTAATACAACTGCCTCGTAAAAAGGGTGAACATTTCAAATTATTATTTAAAGTTTTTTTTAACTTAAATTCCATTGTTTGCTGGGAACTGTACAGACCTCAGACTTCAAAGATAAAGTTGTACCCGTGTTTATAAGGCAGGTGCACTGTTCTATTTCTCTTCTAACACTTTAAAAACACGGGCCATTATGCTGTTTAAATCTAAGCTACAAAAAAAAAGGTATTATGAAAGTTGCTGTGTGTATTCCCCGACATACCTTAAAGCAAGAGAATTGTGGGATTCCCCAAAACTTGCTGTAAAAAAAAAAATCCTTAGAAACTTCATTTGCAGATAGTCCTAACTCAAGGTTCATATGAAGTCTCACTTGGGGAATTACATTCTGCCTTAAACTTTTTTCCTGATGAAACTACAGAAAAGTGTGCTTTTCTTCTCCTTTGGGACTGTTGTATTTCTTGCTAAGTAGCAGCTGTATCTTACTCAAGAAGGTGCTTTGCTGTAGTGAAGCAACACCTGGTTTACTCATGACATATAATAATTGGTCTTAGCTACTGTACTGAGCTTCTCAATAAAGAAGTTTAATTCTGTCTGTTGCTGAGGTCAACTTGACAATTAGTAGCCCTCTATCAGGTTAAGTGTTAGTACCCCAACTCTTCTGTCTATATAACATTTTCTTTAATAGCAGTAATTTGAGCTATAGGTATATACAGTTCTGTGTACATCTTGTTCAGTTTCGAATTAGGGATTGTGATAATATTGAAGGCTGAAACCACAGATCTTTGCATGCTTTTTTGGGTTTAGGTACTACACTGTCAAGACCAGTTACAAAAGCAGTGTTCAGGATATATTGTAAAATACAATCTTAGTAAATATATTCTTATTTGCTGTTTTTTCAACTATAAACAAGAATATGGGATAATGTGGAAATAAGTACTTTGTAGTAGTAGAATGCAATTCGTAGGTAGCTTTTCTGCAGTGTCTTGTCTTTCTCACTTAACAAGCGGAAACATTGCTCCATTACTTCCCAGTTCTACAGAAGGAGATGAAGAATACCTACAGGAGAGAAACTTCTTAACTCCTCAGTGCTGCTTTGCAGTAGCAGTAATTTCAAGTTGTGAAGTGGCTCTTGAGCATATACCCTTTTACCTGTGATCTTGCTAAACAACTCAAAGGCCTCTTATGAGTATATTCAGGAAGACACTGTATCACAGAATACAAAGTCTTCATTCATCACGGATCTTGATTTGTGAATTTAACTTGTCATTCCTCCTATGTCTTCTAACTACTTTGCCCATGTCCTCGAGAGAAAATAATTTCTTTAGCTGTCTTGTTCTGTTTCTTACTGAGGGATGCTTGGAGAGTTCCTGTGGTAAGAATCCTGAAGTAATAAGCTTTACGACTTGCAGGAGAGCCTTAGTGATCACCATCGTCCTCATTTTTTTTGTGAAGGGAAATAACACATGCATTGTTGAAGGGAAGGACACATGCATCTTGCAATATTATAGAACTTGCCCAGTCTTTGGCAAAGGTAGTATTTTCAATAGTAGTGTCAGCTTGTTTGATTAGTTCTGAATTCTTTTGTGATTTATAGGTGATAATCTGGGAGTAAAGGGTTAAAAAATGGTAAGAGATATTACTGAGATGCACTCAGTGTCACTGGTAAGAGATTAAACTAGTGCCTTCTGAGCTAATAATATTCTTGTACAGTTTCATCTGTGGCTTTTAAGGTTGATGCCCTACTGAAAATATTGTATATATGAAAAAAGTAAAATTCCAAACATAGCCAAGGTTGCAATTATTTTTGCTCTCTGATCACTCAAGAAGGCACTGTATTGTTTCAGACTTGCATTTAATTTTGAGGACTTGGATGATTTTAAATGAAAGCTCAGTTTCAGTAGAGCTATGGAAGTGTAAGGTAAAGTCCAAATAAATATATCGGAAAAGGAAATTGATCTAAAAATGAACTGTGTCAGATTAGGGAATTGGATTCAGCCTATGTCTGATGCAGCTTTTATGCTCACTCTGATGGAAAGATACAATTTTAGTTAATCTTTTTCTGTTCGTGGTTGGCATTTCTAGATAAAACACCTACTTAATATATTCTTGGAAATGTTAAAGGTTTTTCTTTTTCTTCTGGATCTTTGCCCTACTGAAACAGTGCAGCTGTTAAACTGAATCATCTGGCTAACTGTATAATGAGAACTGTGATTAACTTGTGGAAATTCTGCAGAGGTGGTATTGGACCAATAGATGGTGCCATTACCTCAGGAACTGGCAAATTACTTACTTGGAAAGTGAAATCCACGTAATAGTCATGTGATGTCATTGTTTAGCCTTTGATATATAAAATAAATGCCTGATTCTTATAATTGCCTTATATCCAATATTGTCATAAACTGTAAAACTATAACTGACTCTGTGCTGATAGCTGCTAGTAGTTGATTGCCTGAATAAAGTCACACAGTTTCCATTATGTACGTGGTTACTTTTGTGCCTATGTTTTAAAAGCTTTAAAATGGGGCATTTCTGAAGATCCTGGCCACTCCTCTTTCCCCCCACAAAAATAACATAGTAGCAGAATAAGTTCAGACAAGTAGGAAGTGGAATATCAGTGGTTTAAGTTAACTGTAGCTTAAACTTTGATTTGCTGTCAGCTGTACCAGGTCTGTGTCTGGTGGTTACATGTTACTTTTGGCCATGCTGTCAAACAAAGCCCTTCTTAGCATAAATGTTCTTTACCTTTCTACACCTGGTACACTGATACTTTCTCCTGTGACTCGGATATATTTTAGTAAAAAGATTAGCTTATGCATATAAATGAAGGATAGAATTGAGATAGTAGAGGAGGTATCAAAGGTCAAATCAGAGATAGTAGTTGGAATTGTATTTTGATCTTATTTAGACTAATCTATTGTTTTGGGGGTTTTTTCCCCAAATGTTCTAAGGGCAGTTTATTAAATCGGGGTAGGTATTTTTGGCCACTTAATTTCTGGAAATTCAGTATTAAATAGGGAAGGTGGTTGAGATGATGGGGTTTTTGTTTGTTTTAGTGTGCTAGAGTGTGTTTTTATTTAACTGGAGTGTGTTTGAGAATGGACAGTGGTGTCCTCCCTTGCAAGGGAGATGTAAAAGATACTCAGTGCTTACTCAGGAGTGAAAACATCAAATTAAACTGTTTATGCTGACAAAGGACAAAATTGGATTTCAGCAAACGATGCAAGATTGTCTGATTGCTTGGCTTGTCTAGGAAAGCTTCTGGCCAAGACTTGTAATGAAATGCATGCATAAAATTAAAGCACTTAAGTCGGTAGTTCAGCTTTCGGAAACTGTAAGTATGTTCCAGTAGTCTCTAGTGGCTAAAGCTAGTCCCCTGGTACCAGTGTTGCTTCATATTCATAAATCAGCTCTTCATGCATTGGCAATGTCGTCCTGCAGAGCAAGCACTACCACTGCTGAGACTCAGCCCCTCAGCCAAGAACCAGGGTGAAAAATGATCCCAATCGATGGGGCTGTGGAGATCACCGAATTTTACCTAGAATGAACAGCAAATTGAATAACAATGAGTGCGTGTGAATAAATGCCCTGTCAGGGAGCCTTGACACTGATGGATTAGGAAGTGCTAAATGTTACTCTCTCAAGGCTCTGCACATCCTCCAGTGTGGCAGGCTGAGGTAGCGAACAGGTCCTTGGGTGATGAAAATGGACTGTGCTTAGCAATAAGAAGTTGTCTTCAGTGAATGTTCTGCTAAAAAGATCCAGTTCATCTGTTATAGAAAAGCTACTGCAGTTGCAAAACATGGTGGAAATTATTGTTGGCTGAATTTTTTTTTGCTATTAATCAGTAATTATCTTTCACTTTAAATCAATACTGAAGTAGTACAACTGCTTAAGTAAAGACCAGATGGGATTTTTAAAGTGAGTTTATTACAGTTGAGTCCAGAAAATTTTTTGATAACTTAGTTGTGAAAACTTATAAAATGGCCAATGTTTCTTAAAGAAGGAAAAAAAAAATCTCATGACTTATCTGATTCATGCTAATTATCAGGCTGAAAAGCATTTGCCTCAGAAGATAGCTTTGCATCTCAGTTTCTGTAGTTCTTTATAATTTGTTGCACAATCAATATTTTTATATATTTAGATGCTAGATTAATACTTCCTGAATATTTGTTTCTAAAGCATAGCTTACTGAAAATATATGCAAAATAAATTATTTGGAATTGATATGGCATTTTTTTCTTGATGATTGTGTTTCCAAGGTTGTTGAAGTGTAACCGTTCATAGCAGTTAGTGGTTTTTAATCTGGCTGAAAGGTTTTTTCCTGAATGTTATGTAATACAAATACATGATGACACTACCAATTATACTTTGTTTTAATTATTCTTATTGCTCCTACACAGAACAGTTGTGAACTTCAACATTTAAAAAAATTCCAACAAAGAAAATTTCCTATTTCTGCATTGGTTGTGTGTTGTTAAGATTCCAAACTAGTTATCTGTCTAAGATAAATATCTGGTTTAGTATCACTTTGCATCTGAACTCAGTTAAAGATGCTATTTAATGACCCATCATCTCACAGCTTTCCTGTGTGTTTTAATAGATTGAAGTTGAACTGCTGCATCTTGGCAATGCTGACTCCTAACTGGTAGTGACTTAAATCTGTTGCTGTGTGCATGAGGTGGGAGCATCTATCCCTAACTAATGGATGGCGTTTTGCAATGTTTGTATTTTATCTTTCTCCAGACATTATGTTTGGGAATTGTTAAGCTTGTTTCTACATAAAGGCAAAAAGCATGCTTGTTAAAAATGAATTATTGGTGGGCACTGAATACATGGACAAGAGAACAGCTGTTTCCCCACATACAAACAAGTTCTCCATAGACCCTTAATATCTAAGTTTTCTGTGCTTTTATAGGTACTGCAATAAGAAAACCATACTTCAATGTTTACTTAAGTTCACAGATTTTATTGCCAGCTCTCCTACTACAATGCATAGCTTTCATAACTACTTAGAACATTGTGGGGTTGTTTGGATCATATGTGGAATTTGACAAGTAGAGGGAAGTCAGTGTAATTGGATAGTGAAGTTTGCAACTGTGCCTGTGAGCAACTGTCCACTCCTGGTTTTCTGCATGGATGGACAAGTGAGGGGGTTTCAGTCCACCAGCAGTGCAAATAGGTTTGAGGGGTTTTTCTTATTTAATGTGCTACAGGTGAACATATGCACATCATTAGTATTTTCCAAAACAGTTCATATTGCTGTTGTCAAACAGCAGATGAGTTGTTTTGATGGAGAAACTCAGAAGTATACATCTACCTATGTATTTAAAAACAGTGTTTATATCTGGTGCTAGTAAGAGTGAAGAATTTTCTTTGTGCTATTTAAGACTACAAAAATCTGTTCTTTCAGAGAATGCTTAGCTGTGCTGTGAGACTTTTTCTTGGGCACTTGTTTTAAATGCAAGCTTATAAAGCTTTATGTTTAGGATTTATAAGCAGTAGAGAAAAAAAAATGGGTTTATTCAGCTTTTCCATCTTTACTTCCTGTTCTATTAGAATCTCCCTGGGATCTTGGTTTTCAGATGTAAATGTCTATGTGTAGGTTTTAATTAAGACTTTCAACAGCTCTTTGAAACATTATAGGACTGTCTGCGTTTATTTATTTAAAGTTGATATTAGATTTGGTATTTATTTGCATACTGGTAACATAGTGAGATAAAGAATTAAAAGTATAATTCTTTGTGTAAAGGATTCATGTAATGTAACATAAGGTTTCCTCCCATTCATCTTTTTCCTTCTTTATAAGTCTACTGAGTTCTTGCCCATAGGTTCTTTTGAGAACTTCTTTTAAAAAGAAGCTGGAGGAATGAATCCAGTCTGAGCAATGTATGAGATTATTGCAATATTCGTGTTGTTAATTTTTATTTGTCAGAAGTTTTAAGAAATTAAGACCACTTCTTAGGTCAGTAGCTAATGTAGTAATTTGTCAGATACTACCTTTTATACTTTTTTGCACTTTTTTTTTTAGTCTTTATACTCTAATTTTCTTAAAGAACCTCTATCCAAGGGTAGGATTGTTTTCTAGTTCTGAGGCTTCCCATTCTGCTTATGGTAAGCCTTCATTTGACTGTAGGAAGAATGTGGTCCTAGTTTGAGACTGTATCCCAGATTTTTTTCCCCCCTTTGTTAGAAATGTTCCTATGTCATTCCACAAGAAGAATTACTTTATGGTTCAAGTCCTGTATTTGTTTTGGAACATACCTTATTTTGACCTTGTTTGAAGTATCAGTAAAATTCCTTTTATTTGAGATTCGTTCTGTGATATCAGCTGTTTGTATCAGCAGTTCATTTCTGCTATTAGTTGCTTAAAAATCTTCTTTATTCCCAGTTTCAGCATTAAAAAAAAATGGAGTCATGTATTGCTTCAAGGTGTAAATGAATAGTCATTGCCTGTAATACAAGTACACACTTAGAGTGTCCTACTGCTTTTAGATGTGATGTATTTGGTACTGTAAAGGTAATGATCCTCAACCACAGCAATATTCTGTAACAGGAATATCTGTCATATTCATTGGGATTACCATGTTCATTGATTTGTGTCTGTAAATCTGCTGTTTCTACCCTTTAAATTTGATCTATAATTGGACCTCCTTAAATGGTTCAGATAAGGTAGTCTGTATTTTCTCAACAGTGTCACTGTCAGCTTCTCCTTTTTCATTATACATTCAGCAGACTTGATAAAATCAGCAGGACACCTCATTTGAAACTGTTTAATCGCTGCCTTTTTCTTTCACTAAACCATTGAGGTGGTCAAGCGATATACACAAATCATTTTAAATAGAAAATATGGCTTTCTCTGTGACCCAGCTAAACAGATAGCAGTATGCAAAACAAGTTAAAAAGTAATAAATGCCAAAAAATCTTCTAATTGGAGTAAAAAATTGCGGGTAACTTTATTCACTCCCCAAAAGTAGCGCTTTCTGAAATATGGTTAGGGCCATGGACAGACAAGATATCTTCCTGAAGACTCTCTCTGAACAAAGCAAGTTTACAGTTTCAAATAGTATCGTACTGCTTTTCGTATTAATTTACGAAAAGCACATTTATAATGTCTGCAGTTACAGTGCTTTGGTTAGAGATGGCTTCTGTTCCATTACTACACTTGCACTGCATCCTTTAAGAGAAGTAATGTTAAACTCATGTTTTCATATCTGTCATTTTGTCTATTCAGCTGTTATTGTTCAATGTAAAAGTAATGGCACAAAGTAAATGCATAATAAACTGTTTAAAAGTAGATATGGGGAAAAAACCTGATGGCAGCAGCCAGCTACTCTATTACCATTGCTAGTTTACTCATCCCCATGCGTAAAGGTGACTGTGCCAGGGCAGCTTGTTAAAGCAATCTATTCATTCTGAGTGTCTTAGTGTTAAGTGACATACCCTCTAACGTGGCCAGGCACAAAAGCGGGATAGGAGAAATGGAGGAGTAGGAATTGCAAACTGTGGCATTTGGTTAACTCTCTTTTTTTCTAACCTCATTTTCATATCTTCATGTTCAAAATAGTAAAAAGAAAAAGGCTGTCGGAATGGGGACTGTGAGAAGACTGTGTACACTAGCTATAAATTCAGGAGTAAATTAGGTGCTGGACTTAAAGAGGGTAGATGCTTTAGAGTGTATCGTAAGCTAAGGTAGACTTAGTCTGGTTTGTGCTGCTGATATTTGCTACCTTCTTCTTTAAAAGAAATACTGTGTCTAAATATACCGGCTAAATAAGTGTCCTAATTTTGTTACCATAGGTTCTGGATCATTAGCAGCTATGGCAGTATTTGAAGATAAATACAAACCGGACATGGAGGTAAGAAATTTTGTTCTAAAGCTCAGTGTTTCTTTCCTCAATAATTCTTGTGATTGTAAGAATTTAAGGGGTTTGAAGCTTTAAAAAAATTAAAACTGTTCTAGTTTCCCTGCACTTAAAAATGTACTAATGTCAGCTTACTGCAGAGCTATAAGAGTTGGTGGGTACAATAAATTTGAAGAAATAGAGCTTCTTGCAAATTTATGTATGGAAAAACTTCTGTGATTTGAGTGTAAGTGAAAGCTTTAAAAACATACAACTTGCTAATTATAGTTGACTTCAGGAATTCAGCCCTTGTGTAGTCAATATTGCAGGTTTTCCCCCAATAGTCAGTCTTCTCTCTCTCAATCTTGAAAAGAGAATGCATGATTGTAAAAGCAACAGAAAAAGTTCAAGTAGTGTATGAAACCAATTAGATTTCCGGTTGGTTGGGTATGTTCAGAACTAGTAACTGCACTTTTAATATCTACTTAAGCTAGTTATCAGAAGATTTATAAGGTTGTGGGTTGTTTGTTTTGCTGATCATCTTGGTAAAAATTGAAAAATTGAGTAGTTCATTATAGAGAATCATTCAGGAGAGCTAAAAGCTGGAGTGTCATGAAAGATCAGAATAAGTTATTCAGTTATTTTTTTATGACTGTATTTTTATTATCTATAGTATTTCCTTACACTTAACTACACCACATTTAGTGCCTGCTAAACTAAACAGTGAAAAATCTAATTATCTACAGACTATTGATGAAAAGAAAACCAAAACAATTAAAGGGCTTTCTGTGACCATATTTTTGTAAAATGCCTCAGTGATGTCAAGCCCTCTTTTAAACCACACTAATCTCTTCAGACTTTCTGTGAATGCTCCTTCTCATTCCAATTGATTAATAATTTCACAGTAAAGAATAAACTGAGAATTGAACACAAAATTGAAAATTGAACCCATTAGAAATTACTTGTAACACCAACAGTTGCAATAATTTCAGCCTAAAATGCTGAAAACCCTATTTACTATCACTGAATAATGTGGAAAAGGAAAAAGTTGATTTACTTCAAAGATGAGGAACATCTGAAGACCTTTTCTGTACTGTAACTGCTGTGGGTCATTTCCTCCCCTTCAAATGTTGCTGTGACTGCAGTATATTTTCAGGTGATGATCCCATGAGTCAACTGAGTTCCTCTCTAAAATCAATTAATTAAATGTAAAACTTAGTGACGTGTCATACCCTGTTACATCTCCTGAAGAAATGTGATGTGTAATACTAGTCGATTTAAAACCAAACAAAACAACTTGTTTTGAGAAGTTTTCCAGTAGCTAAACTGCTAAAGAGTTAGTAATAAGCAATTTTCCAATTATTCCTGGAACTGGCTCTTTTTCTGTCAGTATATATGAAATAGTTGTAGGTGTGCAAAATTATGAAAATGCAGCAAGATCAGCATTCCTATGTTGCTGCAGTGTTTTGGGCAATATCTGAAGACACTGGGCTTCTGGCCTTCAGTGTATTTATAAATGCTATCAGAAATATTGCAATATTTTTAATAGACACTCAAGTTTCTTCTGTAAATAGCATTACACTAGATGACTGATGGAAAGAACCACTACATAGAGGTAGACTCTACTTCTTTTCTCTCCCCTCATGCTGCTGCCAGAATGAGAGAGTCTCTTTTTCTGGCCTCTTGTGTGACTGTGCACTTGGCATGTGTGCTATTCATACTGAAAACATGGACTACAAATCCTTGGAATCGACAGCTACAGTATAATAGTCCACTTTCAAAGATACAAATGTCAAAGAGCTGTGCTATGAAACTAAAAATTTCATCTTATTCTCAGCTAGTTTTCAAGCTTGTATTTTAAGTCATTCTTTGTGTAAGAGCAACCGAAAAAGGCACCAAAAATTGGTAAATCTCCAACCTTTCCTATTTAGAAAGGTCATCCTAATTAAATTGTCTTCATATGCAACCATAAATGGCAGCAGATATTCACTGTTATAACAAGCGTGTAGAAATGCAGCCTACCAATTTGTTGAAATAGATACTTAGATCTTTGAGACTTGCATGCACCTTAACCCTTCCTTTGTTTTTACTAGATATTCTGTTACCTAATAACAATTTAGTCATTGTATTAACTAAACCAGCAAAGTTTCAGGTGATAAAGCTCAACTGTGTTCTGTTATGGCTGCCAGCTTAAAATACCTACCTTCTAAGTCACATGTGGGTTTTTTCCAGTAAAGTAACAAAATAACAAATGATATTTCTGTTGAAATTAAAACATTCCATCTGAAGTACACTATATATATTTTTTACATAAAATTTGCTATGAAATGGCAATGATAAACTTAAAATTCCTGAAGATTAATTTAATAAAATGGGTAGAGGATTAATATTTTTCTGTCAAGATCAATACTGCTTTCTTTTGCACTAATTGTCAGAATATCTTGCTAGGGCTACTGGAGGGTAGTGGTGTGCTTCAAGACCATCACATCACAGAAAAATGATTCAAAGGCAAACTGTCCTGCACCCTCTGGTATCGACTTGCAAATTAGCATCTGGAATGTAATTAAACAAGCTTAATGAAAGTAGCAGCTGAATACTACTGGAAAAGACAATCAGCTTTTTTGCCTCTGATATATATTCTGTACTATTGAAGCTGATCACCAAACGCATCGTGTGAGCACAGTTAAAAAAAAATTAGCATTTATTTGAAGAATAGGAACTGTTTTTCATTCTGTTATGCTTTTGGCATGCACTGGTGTCCCATGAGAGCCATGCCACAGCAGATAGTGCACAATATTTATAAATCCATGACAGGCAATAATAGCAACTTGAAAAATTCTTTTGCTAGAATTTCAAGTTGAGAGCTGCCAAAAGCTGAGAGGATCAAATCTGCAGTGGCAGCTGCTGTGCCCTACAGTTAGAATCGTAGACTTTGAAGATGCTCAACTTAAAAAAAAAAAAAAAAAAAAAAAAAAAAAAAAAGACTGCAGGCTTAGCCAATTTTTGCAGGTTTCTAGAGCCCTGGCTCTCTGCCTTTTGAAGATGAGTTGCTGAAGCTTCTACCACTGCCTGAGGCATGCTAACACCAGCAGGATGTGTTTTTTTCCATAGACTTAGTGTGTCTTCAGATTTAAGTAGCACATGCTTTATCAATGCCAACTGTGATGGTCCTTTCCCTGGTTGCAATGCTGGGAGATGATCTTTACCCAACATCCTTCAGAGAAACTGCTAAGATAGATGGTGACGTACACAAGTGCCACTTCTGCAGTCTGATTTATGGAGGCATGTTTCATTATGAAGCAAGTGCTGGCCTCTAGAGGAACCATTATAGATTGCTGAAGATGTGAACACTTTCAGCCCTGAAGGCCTGTAGATGCTTCAAAAATGTAATGCCAAGCATCTAACTACTGTGGAACAATATTAATCTGTCATGTGGGCAGCTATAGATCTACTTTAAAAAACATAAGTGGAAGAACAGCACACCTAATAGTGTTTTGAGCTTAGATCTTTCATTGCAGCCAATTTTTCTTTCAACAGAGTTTCAGTAGAGTAGCCACATGGTTTTTAAACCTTACAGTCAGATTTTGCAAATGCATTCATGCCTTCTGGTGTTAAACAATAGTAGAGACACACTCTGAGTCAGTGGATATGGAAACCAAGATCTGGGGACAAAATGTCTACAGTATTAAATGCTGGAATTCTGGGTTTATACTGTAGTTGTTGAATTCCTAGGGAGATTGCAGGGGGATATTATATTTTATTCTGGTATTTGACTTCTGTTGTTTGAAAAGTAGAAGCTTTTTGTCTGTAGAAGAATTGCTTGATGTACGGTGAGGCTATCTTGTCTTCTGACAAGAGCTTCATGTTTAAGCAAGGAAACAGGCTGCTTGTAACTTCATTTCTTTTCTGTATTTCATCAAAACAGTCAGGTTTAATAAAAAGAGGATCCAAAAGGAAGAGAATTGGTAGAAGCCACGGAAAGCCCAACTATTGCAAGGAAAGGGAAGGAAATCTTTGTGTAATGAGTTCAAGGGCACAGAATAGATGGGGAAAAAAATGGAAGGAGGTAGTCTGGCAGATATTTAATAATTATTTCTAAAATAGATCACCCCAAAAATGTGAGATTATATTTACAGTCACACCATTTTTTAAGTCTGGCAGGAAATCAAGTGGTACTGAATGAAAACAAAAATGCTCTGGAGGGGTAAGAACAGATTAGAAATAAGAGGGGGCTGTTCTGATCATATTCCACTTGGAATGTTGGTACTTTACCCTCCTGCAGCAGCTGTGCTGTCCAAAAAACTGCATCTTGCTCTCCTACCAGAGATTTGCACTCCTTCACCTGTTGGCCAGGTTTGCTTTTGTGATCATTCTGCAGTGATTACTTTTGCTAACTTGTTTGGTTTTGACAAATATGGGTTAGGGAGCAATCTTATGAGCAATTCAGCTGGCAGATTTGGGTAATCCTCTGTAAAAGAAGAAATGATGAGCAGACAGGAGTTAGAGGTAGTAACCTTTTTCAGTTAATAGTTGCAGCTGCCAGAGTAGGTGTGTTCACAAAGAAATTATAGGAAGGAAGAGGACTGGAAGCTGCAAAATGTGTAGATTCAGGCTCTTCTGGTCCACAGTTTTGTTTCTGGCTTTGCTACTGATTTTTGAGGTACTTTGGAGCTGCCCCATATCCCTAGAGTGAAGCAGCTGAGTCATAATGCTTTCCTCCGGATGCTTGATGTGTGTCTTTGCTGTATCAAAGTAAAAAGTAGTCTAAATGTAACTTTCCCTGTGTACCTCTTATTTCAGTAAAAAATACATCAGGCACAGTACAAAATATTATGAAAACATGTCACTTTCTTCCATTTTTAAACAGCTGGCATACAGATCATTCAAATGTTTCTGTGCTCATATTTCCTACTGTCCCTCAATATGGTGGTGGTATTTTTGTTTATTAACTACTGACAATAATACTGAGCTATTTTTGGAAACTGTCAAAACTCTCTAATCTTCAACAATAGTTG